TTGATCTACCACGTATTTTAATAGGAATGAAGCAATAAAGGGCCAAAAAGCTCGTTTTCAGCGCTTCTCATTTATGCCAATGCATCGCAATAAATATCACAACATATCAGTATTTAACTGGGAAAACCAAACAATTGTTTTTTGGAAAGGAAAAATTAACATCACACCTAAATTGGGGTGAACTTCGTCTTCGGGCCGGATATGGGATTCTCAATGATAACATAATTGTTAGATCATCCGACTGTCGGGACTACTGCTCATGGAAAAATAGGGTATCTTTGACGAACACCACTCTTGGTTTCGAACGATTTGCTTGGCCCACCTTAACTCTACCAGAGGTACGCGAGTACAGTATTTGCAATAGGTTTACATACTTCCGCGGCCTTCTTTCGCGCATCAGGCTGACCTAATTGTTCATCGATCGCTGTTGTTTGTTGTGGATACTCTGTCCACTTTTATCGCAAATAGTCTCACTGACCTGTCTGTGACAACTTCAGTTGCCGCGTATCAGGTGAAACAGTCTTTGTCTATTCTCTGATGCAGAAGCTACCTTTATTACACTAGCTGTTTTGGCTAACGAGTTTTCGCGATTGTTTTTAAGGCTGTTTCTGAGCTGACATTGCGGGCACCATCGGTTCCTGTGGTGATCCTGGTAGATTAGTTTTTTCGCTTTTGTTCCATCATAATTACTGACTCCTGAGGGATCCAATGTCTTCGATGAAGTTCCGGCTCGGACTCACAAGCAAAGTTTGTTGCTGACTGCATCGCAAATCTAATTTGATCCCACCGTTGGTCTACTCCGCCATATTGGGGTGTCCCCAACTCCTGTCTCAGCTTCTCCTCATAGCGTGCGCAGATAATTGGATTGCGCAGACAACGATGAGCTAACTGAAGAGGCGATTTCTGTCGATGATCGATGGGTCTAAGAATGAAGCGCGTACAGGATCCGACTCAACGCAGAATCGGCCACGCCTACAGTAGCTTACAGCTATCTGTTCCATCGGGGTTAATTTGCTCGTTGAACTGAAACACCATGAAGCCGTTCGAAAAGAGCTGTGCCGAAATTCGGTGCTAAATAAGAACAACCGACAATCCTCGCAGAACTGAAGTGAAGTGGTCGTCCACTGTTGTCTGTTCTCTGTCAGGGCAGAGCACAACTACCACCTGGGCAAGCTTCTGATGCGCTCAGTTTTCCAACCTGCGGGTTAAAGTCACCTGTCAACACTATAATATCCGAGCTGCGGCTCAACCAAATGAGTTCGCCGGGTTTGTTGTCAAATTCGTCCTTTTGTGAAGTGGGACTACAGTTCCTCAGTGCATATGCGGAAATGATGAACAAATACCTTTCGGTGTTGCTTCCATTCTGAACACTAACTGAAGCTGGAGCTTCACTGCGTACAAAAGACTATTGAGGGGTATCTAGTCTATCAGTGAGGCTTAACTTTGTTGTTTAGTACGATTCCTCCACCACGCTGATGCAGTGAGCGGGGTTTATTATCTCCTGATGTACGAAGAAAATACCTCGAGGACAGACCGGAAGCACTCATATGGCCTATGATACTAGGACCTTGAATTCGCGTCTCCGATACGCCACAGACAACAATTTCTAAAGGCTTCATTGTACGTACAAGACATACTTGTTGACCTACTTGTATAAGAGTCCTCACATTGAAGGTCCCCATATTGAGAAGTTGCCTAGGCTTCAGAATATATGCTTCATTTAGTGGTATACTACTTACCGTGCTATTTAGCAACGACCCTTGGGGAGTGACAACCAAGTTGGCTGATAGGATGTAGCGGATCGAAATAAGGGGCAAAGAAAGAGGGTTGGGTAAAGAAGACAAGGAGTTAAAGTTTTGGATGTATGCGCAGTAGTCCACTCATCACTACTCACTCCGCTCGATGCAATGGACAGCGCGGTCCTGATTATGCTGTGCGACGACCGACGCCGTATGAAATTACTTTTAGTTTGTGGGTTCATTGGAGCTTTATGGACGGGTACTGCCAGGGAGTCCAGCCACTAAGCAGGAGAACAATTAGGGTTCTTCATCAAAGCCTTTAGTTCTATCAATAACTTAATCGCAAGGAGGCGGTTAAGGCGGATTGGATGCCCATTCACTTGAGTCATTTACTCCTCCAACACGTTTTACCGACTGAGGCGCCAACTGCACTTGAACCCCGAATATTGAGGACAAGGAGATTGAACTTTGTCTAACCTCATTGACTTTCTGTGCATAATTAGACCTTTAGCTCAATAAAAGTTGTTCTGTGTAGCTCGTTTGGCTACAGAGGTGCACGAGCCATTACACCACGTCAAGATGCGATCTCATCGTCCATTTCTTTAACGTGCAGACCTGACCATTGCGAGAACAGGATAAAGATAGTCTATCGGTATTCGAACACCGCTGTCTATTGCACATTGCGCGAGTTTGGTGAGGCAGCCGGATGAGCTTTGCTGAAGTTAGGTGCCGAGTTGTAGGTTGCCAAGATTGAACCTCATCGCTTTCGTTGGTTGAGACATGTATTACGCATGCCAGCAAGTAGGATGCCACGGCACGGGTTGTTTTCCGCGGCTTATGATGTGTGACAAAAAGTAAAGTTTGATCAACGTGGCATGGGCTTATAAGAACCCTTCCCAGAAGACTTGGTCATACAGGCCGTATCAGGCTTCGTGGATGGGGATATCAGGGTCCACGTAGCCGATGGCTAGAGGCACTGAGTGGCGCAATCAGTAGCACTTGTGCATATGCTCATTATCCTTGCAACTAGTGTTTGCAATAATTTTGTATATTTTTCTTTGATACTGCTCTTAACATTCTGAACTTCCCTTCATTCTTTCATCCACATGGATTACCAAAAGACAACAACCAAGACCGGCGCACGGAACTGCATGGTTACTGTTCACCAAAACTAAAACAAACTCTATCCGTAACTTTAGCATTTTTAGTGCACACTCAATAGAAATGCCTTCGCGGATCTACTACGAAACGTTTTTCATTTTCTTTCATGGAACAGACAATTCTATGATTGATTTTCAGCAATGGAGTTGCGGTCAACTGAAGTCTATCCGCATATACAGAAAAGTGATGTTCATGGTGTTGGTGGCGGTGATAATGGTGCGGGTATTCGAACGTGCGGTCCATGGGTCGATGTCCGGTGACTTACACCACTGGACCGTAGCAGATTGCCGATGTTTTATATTGGTTCAATAGATACCAGTGGCCTTAAACACGGGGACATTCAGCTATGCGCGCAATAGATTTTTTTATATTTTTTATTCATGCGTTTTAGTAATTGTGAAATATCGCTTTTGAATAGCTTTTTTGTGGTAAAAAGAATGCGCAACCGACTTCCACTGATTACTGTCCTCTTTAATTCTTCTTCACATACACTCAGGTTGCCATCGTTAGTGTTCGTTTCATTTTCTGCCTCCGGTCACTTCGGGTCCGCAGTGGTTATATGCGAATTGATGAACTGGCTGTGGATCCGTACGCAAATCGCAAGCTACGCAAAATTATCGATGCCCTGTCCTACGATGTATACAGTCAGTGGGTAAAGAAGGGCGAGGAACAGAATCGAGCTGCTTTGTTTGAGAACGCACCTCGTCGTGATCTGATCGAGCCACCGAGCAAAAACGATGAAGAGGACGATTTGTTCTACAGTCTCTATCGAGGTGACACATTGGACTACAATGCCTATGATCTGGACGACGAGGAGGATATGCGGGCTCCCATTCGTGTCGACTACTAGTCCCACCTTTTCCACCATCAGTCCAGTCATGGTCAATTCCTTTCGTATTCGGTCACTTGGTTTCTACCATGCTCATCACCATACCAGTGCAATACAGATGTTAGTTTTCGTTTTTTTTTCGCACCGTCCACCTGCCCATCCATTCAGTCATTATAGCCACTCCTCGGAACTTGTTTGTGTTTGAGTTGGCACGGAACAACGGAAAAAGCACAAGATTATGACCACCATATGCAAACAACTATTCTTTTTTGGTTGTTTTCATACTATTTCGCCTCATCTCGTCCTCTACCCCGACCGTGCTCGCGTGTATGTATGTTGCACGATACGAGTTCTCCATCCTGTGTCGTCCGAATTCCCCGTGTAC